TTTTTGCTAATATTCAAACTTTTCCATGGCAAAGTGTTAATGACAGAAGAGTTAACATTTGTTTTCAGAGGGTCATCAGGATAGTGGGATTGCTCAATTATTGTCTGTAATGGCTCAGCTGTTATGGGTCACAACAGTGAGATCACGCCGCCTCACGGACAGCATGTGACAAGAGAGTCTGCCCAGACGAGGAAGTAACAAAGAACTGACAAAGACAGAGAAAGAGACTGATGGCTTTCTTAGCACAACTCAGATAACACAATCACTTACTGTTACTTAGAACACAAAGAAGCACTGTGTTTCTAAATGCGGCTAATATGCCGCAAGGTACAGCTTATTTCAAACCATGTCAGTTCACTGACCCACATGTTGTTCCTGTTAAATAATGCACTCCTCACTTAACTGCTTAACCTCAACAAGCCCTCATTATTTTTGAACGAAGCCCTTGGCTGCAACTGTGACAAAACTGTGACATAGATCAAGTCCAGAGGTCTGCCTCTTTGCTCTAGTTACAGAGACCGACTCAGTCAGCCTTACCACCGACTCTTACAGGAGACAATTCACTAATTCCTATTGCAGCTATTGTAGCTAACTGCTATAACATTAATAACTTGGTAGGAGATAGTCTTTCCTATTAACAACAAGGCAGAAACAAAGAGGAGTTTAGATCGTTGTTTATTAAGCACAAGAGGTCATCAATGTAATTGTGTTTCCCAGAGAGATAAACCCTGGCTCTTTTCATAAGGGCTTGGTTTAGTTATGGTTTACACTGCAGAGAACTGCTAGAGTTCTCTGAAATAAGGGAGTAATGATGAGGTAAAACAGTCAGCACCTACACTGTATCTCTTCAGGACTTAGTCACACATTTACAATGCAGAAGATTTATCCCTAAACAGGTGACACAGTGAAACTAAGCCTACTAACCAGCATGAGACAATGGGAATGGTGCAGTAAGCCAAGCTACAGTCTGCATCCAAGCCTTTGGGGCAGCAGTCACATCGGGTCAAACCCAGGAGACCAACTTCCTGCTCTGCTTCCACAAAGACTCTTCTGTTTCCCCGAATAGTTCCCAGCCTTTGCCAAATGTCAACATACTACATTCATTAATTTCTACAGATCCAGAGTGAAAAACAGGCTGCAGAGCTGCACATTTAATAAATCGTTTTTAAAAAAATTAAGTAATTAAAGGTTTCATTTAAAATATATAATGTAATTAAAATGTACAATGCTGTATAACAGAATTTGTTCCTCTTACCATTAGAATTTCTCAAACATATTTCTTTCAACATATTAAAGATAAGCAGGGTTCTCATTTAGAAATTACTGCATTTTCCTGGCCAATGACAAGTCCAACGCAAGAGTGTAGAATGCAGGCATCCCACCTGTATTGTTATCAGGGTTGGACAAAGTGAAAGGAACTGGGGAAAACATTGCTCAGCCAAACCATAATGACAAAAGGCTACATTGTTATCAAGGGTGAGAGCTACTCATGGAGACTAGAATGGCCTGTTTTATGTTGTTGTTATATTCAGACTAATCCGCAGACCATGGTGAATGACTGCTTGAAACTCTAAAGGAATGGCTTTAATCTTAAATTATGAAAAGGCACCTGGCACTACTCATCAGGGCTCAAATTAAAACAACAAAAAAATTCACTGATCCTGAGGCCACTATTTTTTTCAAGCATTTGTGCAGCCTCAGCCTCAAATGAGAAACTCTGAAGTAATATTTATAGACATGCTATATTTATGCATCTCCCATCTCACCTCTTTCTCCTTTCTCTGGTAACAAGTGATGATTATTATGGCAGTGAGATGAATGGCACTGTCACTGCACAATGGAGACAGTACCTGAAGCAGGCCTACAACTGCTGCCGAGTGGCAGACTCACACTTTCTCCTGATGTGTCAGTGAGGTTCATTATTTCTGAGGTTGGACAAGTGAGGGACCACCACCTGTGTGCAATAACTGTAATGGCTGTTGGCACCTGCATGAATGAGGAAGGAGCTCAGGAGAAGCAGCACCTAGCTAGAAAACAAAAGGCTTCAACTGTGAATGGCAGATCTTTATGTTAATTTAAAAGAGATTCAGGTCTTAACCAGTAACAAATATCTTGACTTAGTCTATGTTGGCGGGGTACACCCTGGACAGGTCTATCACAGGGCAGACACTTAGAGACAGACAACCACACTCACTCCTACAAACACATTTAGAGTTGCAAATCAACTTAAGCTGCATGCCTTTGGTCTGTGCGAGGAAGTTGGGGGTACTCGGAGAGAAACCACACAGAGCCCATGCAAACTCCACACAGAAAGGCCCCCGGGTCGGTTGGGGTTCAGACCTTCTTGCTGTGAGGCGACAGCACTAATGCACACCATGCCACCCGTCAGCTTTATCAGTGTCTTACTGATTACAATTGTCTATAGAGATGTACTAAGAGTTCTATAGACAATCAACAGAGACACACCCCTATGTGAAAGTCTGGGAAGATCACAGTGAACATTGCTCTGATAAAAAATTAATATGTCTTGACAAGCTCACGCTCATGTGACAATAGGCTAGACTAGGAAACTCCTTCAAGGGAGCATGACAAAATGGTTGTATAAGCAGTGAGTGAGGAACCCTGAAGCAAGGCAATTAACTATTCCTTACAAATTAAACTAAAGAGCCATGTAGTTAAAAGTGAAGGCTTGGTTTGTATTATTTTTAATCCAAACAACCCTTGAGTCAGAAGTCTGAAAACCATGGCATGTTTAAGAGCCAAAGGCCAAACAGAGTTACTGAAGCATATGACAAAAGGCAAACTAAAATCTCCTAAAAATGCTCTCATCTTGTAGAGACAAATCTCAGTGGAAAAATAGTGTACAGTTCCTGAGCAATATCTGCAAGCCTTTTTTGCATAAGACTTTACATAGTTGAAAAAAAGTCTTGCCAGCGAGAGTTCGTGAGACCAAGTTGCTTCTGTATAGATGTACAACAATATACTGTAGGTACACCTTGGTTTTTGAGCTTTCAGTCATGTTTAAATGATAAGTCATTGTTGTAACACTTTAGGTAAGTTGGAAAACACACACAGAAAAGCATGAAATGGGCTCTTTAATGGTGGTGCTGTACTGGACTACATTACTGTATATTCAGAGGTGTTCCTAATATTCTGACCCTCTCATGTATGTAGCTGAGGAGGACAAAAATAGAGACACCTTTAAATATAATGTATTCCAGTAAGACACCCCCTTTAACTATGACCTCAATAATAACATATAATTGAGTATATACACTTATAATTTCACCAAAACAAACATTTTGAGCTTTGATGTTAAGGTGGAAGTGTTGAAGTGCATATAACTGTACAGGTGTTCCTAATAAAGTGGCCGGTGAGTGTACATTATACCATCTGCATCTCTCATCTGCTGGTCTAAGCTTCAACTGAGCTTTGACCAAAACAGGAAAACGTCAGTGTATAAAAATAGGTTCTACTTGGTGTGAACCTGGAAGGCTACAGAATGAGTCAAAGCTATGAGCGCATGTACAGTCAACAGGAGTGTCAGTCAATTGCTGCACAAAGATTGATAATGTTCCTTGTCTCACAGTGAAAGATGACTATGACATGCTCCATTTGAGGAAAACAACAAGCGGAAAGATAAAAAGCACTGCTACTATCTATTTTACTGCACTGCAAAAAACACAGACAGAGATGTCTGGCTCTCAAAGCATGTCTCCAGTAAAACTAGTTGCAACGCAAAAGGTGAAATCTGTTTAGAACAGTGCACATTCAGCTGCACGTTTATTTTTAACACACTTTCACAGACAGTAAATGAAGGTCTGATGCTCTCTAAATCATTCTGACATGCTGCCAGCCATGCTGCCAAGAAACACCAACGTGTGACATCTCCCTCCACCGCTACCTTCTGCTCCAACCCTAAACCTTCTTCTGCCTCTCACAGGTGTTCAAATCCTGTATTTAGCTTTTTCTTTCTCTAACAAAATGACATCTTCCTCTCTCACCCCTGCCTTCATGGAAGCTAAGCACACACAGTGTACTGGTGCTGTGTCCTATATATGACAAATATCAGGTAAACCTTAAGCTTTATTATTATCAACAAATCCTATGAATTTATCCTTAGTTATAATCAAGTAATAATGAATTTATCATACTAATAACTTTCAGAAAACCAAAAACACCAGAAAGCATGGTGTTGTGTGTGGGACTGGACCATGGCCTAAATGTATGAAGGTGTATACCCCTTCAACAGGTTTTGTGCTTGATAAATTATCATGCCATGACTTAAATCCCAAGATATTCAAGCCTCCTCAGAGGATGCTGAACTCCAACTAGCACAAACATTCATGTTTCATGGTGTAAGCACAACAGCTAGATGTCAAAAGTGGAAAAAAAAGATATCCAATATACATGACAAAAATTGAGTAGCAAGTTACTTAGCATTTAGAATATGTCTTGAGGCCACTGTGTGCAAAGAAACCTGTAAAACACACTGCTGCTGTTGACTTTAACCACCCCCACTTCAAGATCTTTTACTTGGAGGCCCTTGAGCATAAAGACAGGCCTTCATTTGTAAAATATCTGAATACAAAACAAGTTTCTTGTGTCCCTCCAAGCCTTGAGGTGTGTGGCATTTCTAAAAGCTACTCCACAGTCATCTAGAGGCTTGTGAACCATTCAGCCTATTATAATTTCACTTTGATGCATCAGCATCACTGCAGGTAATTGACAAAAAAGGCCACACCTGTTCTTCACAGTTAAGATTCCCATGAGATTAGTCAAATATTTTGTCATCTCCCATGTCTCTTTAGGTTAAGAATATCACTTGATATGGTGCAAAACATTCCTTTGATTCCTGAAAGCTTTTGTGTACACCAATTTTTGTGTATTCCTACTGAGCTCTCCCTCCTCTCTCTGTCTGGACTTTGGCCTCAATAAGGTCATTTGTAGCTCAGGAAACGGATCAATAATGAGTTCAGATTTACTGGCAAAGCGCTTACCTTGTATCCTCAGTGCCATTCAATCCAGCCTGGGACTTTCAGCTGCCTAATGCAGAGTCAAGTTTCACATGTCCATGATGGTCGGAGGGCTTCTGAGAAACACATCAGCAGCAAGAGAAAAGCTAAATCATTACAGGCATACTGTAAACACATAACATAAAAAAACAACAATATAAAGACTATGTATTCGCAGCTGGGTGGTCATTTCTGTAGCATTTGTGTACAGTGGTTGTGGACTCTGACCTCGCCACAGGGATAATATTCAACTGCTTTGCCAGTAACGTCGGCAGCGTTACAAGTGTTGTTGTAAGGCGTTACATCGGCTAATAAGCATGATAACGTGGCCTAAATAAAGATTTGCCAAGCTTTGCCAATAGCAAGCCTAACAACGACTAATGAAACCAGCCTGTCCTGTGATGCAGGTAACATAGCATGCTATTGACAACCTCAACTGAGACACAGTTTTCGCCCTTATTAGCTTAAATATGAGTCCATAATAAACTATATAAGAAAACTGACATAACAGAAAAGCTACCTTGCTATAAATTGAGTAAGGAATCAGTCCGTGCCGGCCGAGGTCACCTCAGCAAAATCGCCAAATGTTTCTGAAAGAGAAGAAGCCAAAGATAGCTCACCGTGTGGGGGACTTCATTTTTATCTGAATACACCGAACATCCGACTTGAGTCCAAAGGCTTTTTTTGCCAAGAGAAACGTACAAAAACGTTTGTATTGTCGGTTCCACGTTGTCTCTACAACTCGGTTTCTATTGCAGCCTGTTGACAACTGACTAACTCCACTCAGTTCCTTAAAGAAAAAAAAACGCGAGAGTCTATCAAGGCCAAAGTAATCGAAGCCGAGCAGCAGCATAACTGACTTGCTGTCTGGCGGACGGTGAACGATCGATTTTTCTACATCGTTGCTTAAAGGCCTAGAGCAGATGAGGTAGAGGTGAGTAAACCTTAAATGTAAAGTTATAACAATGTGGCATAGTGTTTTCTGACTTCTCAATGTAGGCAGCAAAAATAAGGGACAATGTGATTTATCTGAATCAAAATCTTACCATACTAAAAATATTATTGAAAACAGTGCGTTTCTGCAAATGGAAACATTCAGTAAATACTACGGTATAATTCCGGTCCCGTGATTTAGAGGTGCTAATGAGAATGCTGCCATCTAGTGTTAGTGAATGGTACCTGTTCTCATCAAATTTAGGCTATTGTAGAAAAGACAAATATTTTTATTATTTGCCTGCAATCTTTTGGTGTATAGGCCCTATATTCTAAATTATATATCTGCAGTAAACTGCTTATATTTTAAGCTTTATTATTGGTGCCTGCTGTTCAGCTACAGTTTCTGTACCATATTATTATGTCCAAAGGACAGTGTTTGCTTATGAGTCAGTGCCTCTAATGTGGTTATACAGTATGTGTCATAGTTAAATGAACTATAAATGCCACATAGTTCCTTTCCATCAGTAAAACCAGTCCTGTTTGTAATACTCACTAAAGCAATACAGTGTGAACAGGGGTGCTCAGTTTTTTGCTTTTAATATGTAAACAACTTGTAAGTTAGCATGGGTGTTGAGAGAGAGTTTGATTACACAGCAATGATTATTAGTAAAAACATCGAATCAGTTTGAATTTACATACTTGCCAAAGACATGATTTTCTGCAAACATTTCCAAGACTGTACATAATGTACTTCACAAGCAGTACATTTACTGTGGTGTGTTACTTCATGCATGACTCCTGTCACACAACTGTTTAATGGAGAAGGCAAGGTCCACTGTATAAGCTAACAGTGTAAGACAGGCAATTGCTGTTTCTGTGATAACCAGGTCTTTACTTTTTTGCATCTGCAGAATCTTGGTAAAACAAATCACTGTAGCCACGATGTAGAGCAACACCCCAATCAAACTGAAGCCAGCCAAAAATCTATCAAAAGGTAGGAAACATCGGCCAGCAAAATCACCTAATATTACCATCAGTGTGACTAGTGATGTAAGGACACAGACACCATATGACACACAGGAAACCCATAGCTGCCAACAGTATTCACTAGGTGGTACACAGCCCGACTCCACAACCAGAGGTATCATCTGACAGCCTCCCCACAGTTGGAGTATCTTGAGAAGGCCAGGCATGCTGCCCATGTAACCTCTTTGTTCTTGGGCTTGGGCACGAAGCACGTAGAACTCTGAGGTATAGGCCAGGAAGGCGAGACAGGAAGCCACTGCAGCCGTCACAGACCTTGGTGACACATTTTGATGAACCATGACAATCCAAGGGAAAATGACAGAGACACTAAGACACATCAGTGCCCCTAACACCGCCACTGTCATAGTCAGGTTCTTCCAGGATATTGGTATTAGGCTGTGAAACTGGATGACACTGAGAATGTGGATAAGGAGGGTAACGGTGAAGAAGAAGCACCAGGTAAACATGCAGAAGATCCGGAACGTGTTGAGATGAGATTCATTTTTGTTTAACTCTGAAGGTTCCAGAGAGGCCACGAGACTGAAGGTGGTACAAGTAGATATGACCTCCCATGTCCGCACCAAAAACAGGGGGCTGGCGAAGTCTCTGGCCTCCAGTACAATCACAGGCATTGTTTGTTACTGGGTTGAATCTGAGTGGCTCAATATCCAAGCGACAAGATATCCTTCAGTGTGTCAAAGAATTCCTCAGTCAGTGTCAGTTCCTCTAGATGTATTTTTTAAAAACTCTCTTTGTTCCAAAGCTTGTCAGCCAAGTAGTATAAATTCCAAAATATGTTGTTTTGATTAGTTTAGAGTCCAGAGAAAAAGTAGTAGAGTCCATGGAAACGGCCATGTCAAACAAATCTCAAAAGCACAAAACTACTTCAGGTTTCATGGAAAAAAACACGCCTTGTCTTTTTCACCAGTGCACAATCCTTTTGCATATGCAGTAAGTCATCAAGATAGAAGCACTGCCACTGTCAAAATATGCCTTGCCTACTTCCTTTTTGAGCCTGCAGAAGTGCTTTCAGTCTCACAGGAGGTAGGTGCAAATGACCACATTAAAAAGCAAATGCAAACAAAGCTATCTTCCTCCACCCTCGATTCTCATGCAATGCGGTTCCGTTTTTTGAGGGGGGTAGAAACTAAACTACAGAGGGTAAAATGTTTTTCTGACACTACAAGCCTTACTTTGTCATTACCTGCTGTTAGGTAATTTCTTAGTTAGATAGATATTGATTAGAGATCTGTTGTATTAGAAGATGTTAGTGCAGCCAGGATGTCTTCCTCAGGCTGTTAAATGCAAGGTTAGTTAAAGCAGAGAAAGGCGGCAGTCAGGGACGAATGTTATTATGACGGTAAAAGTAACCATAATATTTGTCTTAATGTGTAATGTTATGTCAAATTGTTTTAGATACACACCACGAAAACAACAGACACACACATTATTTTCTTCATGTTTGGTCTACTGCTCTGCTCAGCTGCCAAGCTGGCATATCAGGTGACGTCACGGTTCGACAGCCCAGAAATGATTAATATTGTATAGCAATGCTTGCTACCTCTTCTCAACTTCTTTGACCTCACTGGTGGAGGCACAAAATGTGGTCACAAGTTGTTCTTTGGTTTGCAGTTTACATGGTATTTGAAGCTGTTTGTGGAGAATTAATGTTAGGACAAGACCTGCTGATTTGTTGAGTGCCACAGATCATTTGAGTGACTTCTTTCTCTGAGGATCTGTGTATGGGTGTAGATAGCCTCTACCCTCAGGAGACTAAAATCTGATATTGCGAGGAGCCTTTGTGTCCCCTTTTAACTGACATTTGGACATATGCTTGAGTTGCTGGAAATGAAATTAGTGTTTGGCTATCTGTGTAGGTGCCAGCAGCAACCTAAAACATTTTGTTGTTTGAATGCATGCATGCATGTTAAGGCCTTTGTCTTGTATGCAAATGGAGAATGCATGTATGCACCTGTAAAAACTTTTCCAACATAATGAAAATGGCAGATAGAAGTATGTTCCATGTGTGCGGTTGTATTTACACAAGCAAAGAGCCCTCTGAGGATCCCAGCCAATCACTTTGCCTCTGAGTATCAGCACACCTGCTCTCTGTGTTATAAATAGACAGTGGATACAACAACTCCCCTGTGTCACACAGCTCGAGTTCAAGAATGTCTGTTTTGACAGAAGGGAGAAGGTGCACTCCACAAAGACAGACGCCAGCTGATAAACACTGGTAGCCTACCATCACCGAATCATGCCTGTAATGTGTGTATCAAGGTTTTGTATTCATTTGTGTGATGCCCAGTAAAAGTTCAAATGTAAACTGGTCACATCACCATACTTAGGTTCAGCTGTTTTACTTAACAGATGCTTTCAGTCCTTTCCCAGTGAAATAAAATGAGTTCCATCTCATTTATTCCTTTCGGAAAAAACATACTTTATTTACCACAACATGAAAAGCCACCACAATGTTAAACTCCACTTTTGGGGCAGTAATTCCTGATGGTGACATAGCATCCATCAGATTTTTATAACTTTTTAAATCCTTACCATAATTACCAAATTGCCAGACAAAGACTGTCATTTAATTGCTTAATTATTTTTGCAAAATGATTTAACAACATTAAATATTACAAATAATATAATAATTACTGCACAGAGAAACACAGGTTTGCTGGAATGAAGCTATTTATGTAAAACAGCTGTTATGAATAGTTCACGCTTGTAATATCTGCCTCAAACTGGGGAAAATACAACTAAAATATTAAAGTAGGCTGCCTGTAGTACTGGACGAAGAGCAGCAGAGGGCGAATGTACAGCAGCTTTATATTGTGAACATTCAGTAGAAGGATCCCCCATCTATAAGTTCCTCTTTAACTGAAGAGTAAATGTCCCCACCTTCCAATGCTGACAAAATTCTTTATCATAATAGAGATGAGTTGTACAGATACGTATGGTGTTCTATTCTGTGTAAAATGTGTATTGCTGTCTGCACAGTCTGAGCCCTGTCAGCTGTAATTTTAGAAAGTCTCAATAGATGTGCGTCATACAATATATTTTTTTTGCAGTACACATAGATTTTTGTTGATACTGAATGTTGCTGAGATGATCGGTATGACTAGGTCTTAAATATACAGATCATGTCTTTTTTTCCCAAATGAATCTCTGATAGCAGTCTAGTAACTTGACACTGTGCACATGCAGTAGCTATTTCAAGTATTAGCTATTTATTATAGTAGTTTCAACTCTTTGGGCCACAAAATAGTATTGGTCTATGATGCTATTAAAAGTGTTTGGTCTTGTACAGACATACACATTATTAGACATAAACATGTGGCATTGTAGTGCAGCCAGATGGATTTTTTTTTGGACAAAAAAAAACAAAAAACTTACCTTTAATCACTTTACATTAATTTGGAAGATGCTATTGTTCAAAGTTAAATAAAATAAGTTTATTCAAAGTCACTATGAGACATCAAAAACTAGAAGCACAACCCTCCTGAATCAACAACTAAAAATGTGTCAAAAGAGGTACAGTAGTGCGAAGCTGTTTAGGGTTTTAACTAGCAAATTTACTTGCTGTACATATGACACCTTCTAAAACATGTTACAAAATGCTCCACAAAAGACATATAACAAATGGATCAGTATAAAGAGCAACATAAAAGATGAAATTAAATAAAAAATAAAAAAACAAACTTCAATTAGAATAATGGAACTATGGGAGAAATAAAAAGAAGCACATGGAGTCTGACCTTTGTGACAACAGTGGGACAAACTTAGACACACAGAGCTAATTAGGCTCTTGCATTCATCACCATGATTTATAAACCTGTCATTGCTGTGTGCTGCGTTAGGGAGCCTGATTGGGAAAGTAAGATTTGTTAAGAGGTTTGTCTATAAAATGGCTTAAATGGAATTAGTACTATGTGACTGAGAGCAAATGACACAAATAAACCTTTTAGTCTAATAATAACACATATAGTCTGATATATCTATTATTAGATTATATTATTATTATAGTCTATTATTAGTCTAATAATAACACACACACATATAGATAGATAGATAGATAGATAGATAGATAGATAGATGTATATATTATTGTATTCAAAATTTAGGCGTCTCCAAGCCAGTGAAAGAAGCCAACATGAACCAAAGTGTGTAAAACATGTAAGATGAACAAAGCTTTGCACAGACCATCATGTGGTGTAGGAGCGATGCTGTGAATCAAGTATTGTATGTCCATGTAAGGAAAAACTGAGTTTTCTAATTTTACTGGAACACTATTATTAAATCTACATAAAACAAATAAGCTTTGTAAAACAAGACTTTATGATCCTTTCACTCATCAGTCAGTATACACTTGTGTGTTGTTGTACTTTAAAGTTAGATGCATCTGCAAACTTGCAGAACTGCTTGAGAGCACAGTTTCTACCATGTGGAACAGGAAGTCCTGTGTGCATCTCCTGAGATAACTGTCATTATCACAACTGTGACATTTACTTTACATTCATAAGCACTATAACTCAGCATGCCATTTGTTCAACCAAAGTATTTAAAGTACAAAATATTCATCTCATTCCACCTAATCTTTTAAATGTTTGTTTTACTATGCTAATTGTAAATCCTCACAGGTGTAGCCATTTTTAAAATATAGATTATCTGCAAACAAGATGTAACAAACACTGGATGGCCCTGCAGGATTTCCTGGTAAAGACCAAGCCACCCCAGCTGGTGTTATTCATAGCACAGTGATCATAGCATTTCATTGTTAAGGACTGATGGATGTAGGAGTGAGGAGGTCCTAAGAATCATTTTTGTCAATATTGTTATCAGTTAATGTCAGTGCAAAATTTTTATATTATCTTCCCCTGCATTACTACAACCAGGCTTCTTTACTTTCATACCACACTGAAGTGACACCACCTGAACCTAATGCCAATTGTACATACAAAGTAATGACACTATTTGCAATTTCCTGATTTTCTGCATAAATTGGTCATGAAATGCGATCTGATCTTCACCAAAGTCACAAATATTAACAAACACAATAGTTCTAAGCCGATAAAACACGAACAGTCATGATCTTTCATGTCTTTATTTGGCACAACCATTAAACTTACAAAGTGATGGTGAAAAAAGTAATGTAACACCAAGTTTCTGATGTCACTAAAGGTCAGCTGGAGTCAGGTGTTAGCAAACCTGGAGTCCAATCAATGAAACGCAAATGGAGGTGTGATTTAGAAGTACCTTGACTTATAAAAAGTACAGAAAACAATGCCATTACTTTTTCTTGTAATTGTTTTCAATTATATGCATAATTTTATGTTTAAGAGCTAAACTTGCAATAAATATTTAACCTAATGTCTTGTTTATTTAAATACCTACATAGCTTAGTCAACATATTTTGGAATATTTTTTTTTACTTCAGGCTAAAGTTCCATATAACAATCATATCAATAAAAAAGTAGCAAATGCAGAATGGCCTTGCAGATAAAAGTGGATCACTGCATAATTTTTAACTGGAAAATGCAAGATGATGAACATAGACAGGAGACAAATTAAAGGTAAAACCAACATCAAGGATCTCAGTGAGGTGCTGAGCCACCACATGCCACCAGAACAGCTTCAGTGCACCTTGGCATTGACTCTTCAAGTCTCTGAACTTTACTGAAGGGATGACCTCAATTCTTTCATTTAACATGTCACTCCAACATTTCCCACAGATCTGGTGACTGTGAAGGCCATAGCATATGATTCACATCACCTTCATACTCATTGAACCATTCAGTGACCCCTTGTGCCTAGTGTGCACTGTCATCCTGGAAGAGACCACTCATTTATTCAGGGTTTTCCTTTTATTTCTTGCCTGTCTTTAGCTCATTTTGTGTATCATTATTGCATGTTGCTTTAAAGAAATCTGTGTGAAAAAGTGATCTTGAGATGAATTCTTAAAATGAAAGTATAATATTATCTAACTAATGATTTTAATGCTATTTAGAGATCATTAAAATAAATGCCCTCCAAAATGAAGCTTC